TTGCAATAAAAGGAATAAAATTGCTTAGGAATAAATTTACCTAAAGAAACTGAAGATCTATATAGAGGAGACTATAAAACACAGATGAAAGAAATCAAAGATGACAGAAACAGATGGAGAAATACACCATGTTCTTGGATGGCAAAAATCAATACAGTGAAAATAAGTATACCCCTAAGCATTTTATTCCTTTTGTTACAATGTTGAATGGGGTTGTTTCCTTAATTTCTCTTTCTGGTTTTTCTTTTTTTTTTTTTCTTTCTGATTTTTCATTGTTAGCATATTCCATGCAATCCCTATCAAACTACCAATGGTATTTTTCAGAGAACTGAAACAAATAATTTCACAATTTATGGAAATACAAAAGACTCCAAATAGCAAGGCAATCTCGAGAAGGAGGAATCAACCTTTCTAACTACAGACTATACTACAAAGCTACAGTCATCAACACAGGCTGGTACTGACACAAAGACAAAAATATAGATCAACAGAACAAAACAGAATGTCCAGAAATAAATCTATGCACCTATGGACACCGTCTCTTTGACAAATGAGGCAAAAGTATACAATGAAGAAAAGACAGTCTCTTCAACAAGTGGTGATGGGAAAACTTGTCAACTACATATAAAAGAATGAAATTAGAACAGTTTCTAACACCATACACAAAAATAAAGTCAAAGTGGCTTAAATACCTAAATATAAGATCAGAAACTTTAAAACTTCAAGGGGAAAAATAAAGACGTAACACTCTTCATCTAAGTCACCACACGCTTTCTATGACCCACCTCCCCGAGTAATGGACAGAAAAACAAAAATAAACAAATTGCACCTGATTAAAAGCTTCTGCACAATGAAAGAAAGTATAAGCAAGGTATAAAGACAGCATTCTGAATGGCAGAAAATAAGAGCAAATGAAACAACTGACAAAGAATTAATACCCAAAATATACAAGCAGCTTATGCAGCTCATTACCAGAAATATGAACTCAATAAAAAAGTGGGCAAAAGACCCACATAGACATTTCTCCAAAGCAGATACACAGACGATTAAAAAATTTTTGAAAAGATACTCAACTTCACTCATTATTAGAGAAATGCAAGTCAAAACCACAATGAGGTATCATCTCACTCACAGAATAGCCAGAATAGCCGTCATCAAAAAGTTTACATAATGCTGGAGAGGGTGTGGAGAAAAGGGAACCCTCTTACACTGTTGATATGAACGCAAACTGGTACAGCCACTATGGATAGTAGTGTGGAGATTCTTGAAAATCTGGGAACAAAACTGCCATATGATCCAGTAATCCCATTGCTGGTTACATTTCAAGGAAAGCAGAACTGAAAGAGACACATGTACCCCAACGTTCACTGCAGCACTGTTTACAATAGCTAGGACATGGAATCAACTGAGCTGTCCATCAGCAGATGAATAAGGAAGCTGTACATATACACAAAGGAATATTACCCAGTTATATAAAGGTACCCATTTAAATCAGTTTTAATGAGATGGATGTACCTGAAGGTACATATAATAATAATAATAATTCAGGGTGAAGTTAAGTCAGAAAGAAAAAGTCATATACTGTATATTAACACAAATACATGGAATTTAGAAAGATACTATGACCATCTTATATGCAGGGCACCAAAGGAACACACGTATAAACAACAGACTTTGGGACTCTATGGGAGAAGGTGAGAATGGGATTTGAGATGATAGCATTGAAGCATGTACATTATTACATGTAAAACAGATGATCAGTGCAAGTTCGAGGCAGCAAGCAGTACACACAAAGCTGATGCTCTGGGACAACCGGAAGGACAGGTTGGGGAGGGAGGAGGGAGGGCAGTTCAGGATGAAGAGAACATATATACCTGTGACTGATTCACACTGATGTAGGGCAAAAATCATCACACACATACACAAAAGAACATATGGACAAAGTATACAATTAAGGTCTTAATGATCCAGATAACCACAACAGTATGGTCACTCACCTAGAGCCAGATATCCTTGAGTGTGAATACAAGTGGGCCTTAGGAAAAACTACCATGAACAAAGTTAGTGGCGGTGAGATAATTCCAACTGAGCTAATGCAAATCCTAAATGATGATGCTGTTAAAGTGCTGCAGTCAATACACCTGCAAACTTGGAAAATTCAGCGGTATCCTAGGACTGGGAAACATAATGTTCATTCTCATCCCAGAGTCAGCCATTTCCAAAGTATGTTCCAATTCCAGTACAACTGAGCGAGCTCATTTCACAAACTAGAAAAGTAATGCACAAAATCCCTCAAGCTAGGTTTCAGAAGTACGTGAACTGAGAACTTCCAAATGTACAATCTGGATTTAGAAAACCAGAGATCAAATTGCCAACATCCACTGGGTCATAGAAAAGGCAAAGGAATTTCAGAAGATCATCTGCTTCACTGACTAACCTATGGCCCTCACCTAGGTGGATCACAGCAAACTGGAAAATTTTTAAGAGGGCAATACCTGCCTACTGCAAGACCTGTATGCAGGTCAAGAAGCAACAGAACCAATCATGAAACAACAACTGGTTCCAAACTGGGAAAGAAGTAAGTCTAGGCTGTATACTGACACCCTGCTTATTTATAAAATGCAGGGCTGGATGAATCACAATCTGGAATCAAGACTGCTGGAGAAATATCAACAACCTCAGATATGCAGATGATACCACTCTAATGGCAGAAAGTGAAGCCAACTAAAGTCTCTTGATGTGGATCAAAGAGAAGAATAAAAAAGCTAGCTTGAAACTCAACGTTCAGAACACTAAGATCCTGACATCCAGTCCCATTGCTGCTGCTGCTAATTCATTTCAGTCATGCCCGACTCTGTGCGACCCCATAGACAGCAGCCCACCAGGCTCCCCCATCCCTGGGATTCTCCAAGCAAGAACACTGGAATGGGTCACCATTTCCTTCTCCAATGCATGAAAGTGAAAAGTAAAAAGTGAAGTCGCTCAGTCATGTCTGACTCTCGGTGACCCCATGGACAGCAGCCTACCAGGCTCCTCCATCCATGGGATTTTCCTGACAAGAGAACTGGAGTGGGGTGTCATTGCTTTCTCCGCCAATCCCATTACTTCACACCAAATAGGAAGGGAAAAAATGGAAACAATGATAGATTTTCTTTTCTTGGGTTCCAAAATCACCATAGATGGTGACTGAAGCCAGAAAATTAAAAGATAGTCACTCCTAGAAGAAAAGCTACAAAAAACCTTGAGAGCATTATTAAAAAGCAGAGACATCAGTTCGTTATTAAATGCCCATATAGTCAAAAGCTACAGTTTTTCTAGAAGTCAAGTACAGGTGTATGTGTTGAACATAAAGAAAACTGAGTGTCAAAAAATTGATGCTTTCAAACTGTGGTACTGTAGAAAACCTTGAGAGTCCCTTGAACTGCAAGATCAAACTAGTCAATACTAAAGGAAACCAACCTGAATATTCATTGGAAGAACATATACTGAAGCTGAAGCTCCAATATTTTGGATACCTGATGAAAAGAGTCAAGTCACTGAAAAAGGCCAGATACTAGTGAAGATTTAAGGCAGGAGAAGGAGAGGACTCAGTAGAAGGTTACATTGCATGACCAGCTCAACTGACCTGAGTTAGAGCAAACTCCAAGAGTGTGAAGGACAGGGAATCCTGGTTTGCCGCAGTCCTTGGGGTCACAAAGAGTTGGACATGACTTACCAACTGAACAACATATGGCCTACTGATGCTTCTACCGTCAAAATTCACACCAATGCTTTTTTTATATATAATTTTATTTATTTGTGGCGCTGCTGGGTCTTTGTTGCTGTGCAGGCTTTTTGTAGTTGCAGCCAGCAGGGATTACTCTCTGGTTTTGGTGTGTGGGCTTCTTGCGGTAGCTTCTCCTGCTATAGAGTAAAGTCTAGGTGGGCAGTCTTCAACAGTTGTGGCATGTAGGCAGAGCAGTTGTGGTGAGATTACCTGCTCCCACAGCATATAGTATCTTCCCCAGATCAGGGATCGAACCTGTTGTCCCTTGCACTGGCAGGCAGATTCTTTACCACTGAGCCATCAGGGAAACCCCTACACTGTTGTTTTTAAGGCCTTCATGTTTCATTTAGTCAGAATATAAGAAATAGAAATACTAAAATGAACTCTAAAAAGGACTTTATGATCATATACAGAATTTTAAATACTGTACAGGAAGACTATATCCAATCTAAGGTTGCATACTTCAAAGCAAAGTATAGGAACAGCTCCCTGTGCTATACAGCAGCTTCCCCCTAACTATTATTTTAAGCACTCAAACAGCAAATACTAAAGCCTAAAGAAAAGCTAGAGAATAGAATCTAACAGTGATAACATGATACAAAGACTTAACTACTACAAAAAAACCCCCAAAAATAAAAAAAAACCCAGTGTTAAAAACCTAACAGAGTACTCTATATCACTCTTCTGCTGCTTGTTTCTCTGAGCTTACTGTATCTTAAGATCTTTTAATGTCAAAATATGTATTACATATCATTCCTTTTAAAATGTCATTTTCCTGTAGTTTAAAATGACAACTTTAAAATGAAACTGCTTGAACACTGAACACTTAAATATGTTACAAATTTATACTCTCTCAGAAAGTTTAAGTACTTATTTCTCTGTATCTCTGTCAACAAAGTCTGACTCTTCTCTTATAAAAAGTCACATGTTTTCTGCCTGGAAAATTCCACAGACAGAGGAGCCTTGTAGGATGCAGTCCACTAGGTCACAAAGAGTCAGACATGCCTGAGCACGCACACTAGAAATATTAAGTATTTATAATACGGGCACAAACACTTTTTTCCATTAAATAACAAAACAAAATTCTGGCTTGGTTTATGGCTGGTTGGTACACAGAAACTTCCAAATTATTCACTTCCCAATATTTTTTGTGTAATTATACTGTCACTGTAACAAATGAACAAAATTGGTTGCAACAGCATGCTTTGTGCTTCTGAATTACAAAAGCACTTACCTTTGCTGCTTTCTTGTCTCCTTCTGTGCGTACACCAAGAAGTCGTCTAAGTAGAAAATAGGAAATTTCCAATTCTGTGAAAATCTCTGGTAAAGCTCCAACTGCACCAAGCACCTGCCCCACCATTCTGTCAGCCCGGCACAAAGTGGGGTCAATTTTTGTTCCAACTCCTAAGATATAAAAAAATACATATTCCAATTTGCTGTCTCTTAAAACATTTGCAAAGGTAAAGGTAGTCATACCAGTACAACTTCAATCTACACACTCTAACCCAAATAACTCACAACATGTAACAACTACATAATCAAAATCCCATATATTTCTAATTAAAATCCCTGCTTTATCTATAAATACAAGGACAATGAAGAAAATGGGTTGGTAGAAATTAAAGAATTTTTTAAAAGTTCGATTCAAACTATAAAGGTAAACGAACTTCATGTAATAAGATATTCTGTCTTAATTAAGTCTGAGAATTACAAAGTTTATGATGATTATTGCTTAGTCACTCAATTGTGTCTGATTCTCTCTGGTTCCATGGACTGTATCTAGCCACTAGTATCTTCTGTTCATGGGATTTCCCAGGTAAGAATACTGGACTGGGTTGTCATTTCCCTTACCAAGGGATCTTCCTGACCCAAGGATCGAACCCATGTCTCCTGCATTGGCAGGCAGATTCTTTATCACTGAGCCACCGGGGATATTACTTTGCAGAAATATAATACATAATTCTTAATGCTGGTTGGCAGGTATACAGGGTTCTCATTATACTATTCTGTTTGTACACCGATGCAATAAAGTTACAAGAAAATCTCATCCTCTGTCATCCCCTTTTCTTTCTTCAATCCTTCCCAGCACCAGGGTCTTTTCTAATGAGTCAGCTCTTTGTGTGAGGTGGCCAAAGTACTGGAGTTTCAGCTTCAACATTAGTCCTTCCAATGAACACCCAGGACTGATCTCCTTTAGAATGGAATGGTTGGATCTCCTTGCAGTCCAGGGGACTCTCAGGAGTTTTCTCCAACACCACAATTCAAAAGCATCAATTCTTTGGCACTCAGCTTTCTTTATAGTCCAACTATCACATCCATACATGACCAATGGAAAAACCACAGCCTTGATTATACCAACCTTTGTTGGCAAGTGCTGTCTCTTGCTTTTTAAAGTGCTTTCTAGTTTGGTCATAGCTTTTCTTCCAAGGAGCAAGTGTCTTTTAATTTCATGGCTGCAGTCAGCATCTGCAGTAATTTTGGAGCCCAAGAAAATAAAGAGTCACTGTCTCCAGTGCTTCCCCACCTATTTGACAAGAAGTGATTGGACCGGATGCCGTGAATAGTGTGAATCTGACCAGTTTAAGTAAGGGTGTATTACATTTAATATTAAATCATTAAACTTTGTTATTTAACTTATATATTCAATAAACTGAATAAATTGGGCTTCACTGGTATCTTGATGGTAAACAATCCTACAATGTAGGAGACCTGGATTCGACTCCTGGGTTGGGAAGATCCCCTCAAGGAGGGCATTACATCCAACTCTAGTATTCTTGCCTGGAGAATCCCCATGGACAAAGGATCCTGGGGGACTACAGTCCATGGAGTCACAAACATTTGGACACAACTGAGTGACCAAGCATAGCACATTCAATAAATCAAAGTATTTTGTGTTTTTTCTTTACTACAGTGTAACTGATTTAATGCTGTGTTGATTCCTGTTGTACAACGTGAATCAGCTTTACATATACATAAGTTTCTCCCTCTTGAGTTGCCCTCCCCCCCCACCACCACTCCACCCCTCTAGGTCATCACAGAGCACCAAGCTGAGCACCCTGTGCTCTAGAGCAGTTTCCTATAGCAATTAAAATGTATTCTTTACATATAAAACCCCTGCCCCCACAAAGAGAGTACAACTTAAGGAATTTTAGTTTCTTAACAAGGGATTAATCAAGGCCTACAGCAGAGAAATTCCTGAGTCCTAACCACTGGACCACCAAAAAATTCCCTACAAGTTCTTTTTAACAAACATGAAATTGTTTTATACTACAGTGAACAATTCAATTATGTGTATACCTGTGTATCCCACTCCTTCATATTCACTTAAAATACCTAGAGATGCAGACTCAGTGTATTTCACACAAAAGTGACATGAACAGATGCTATCAGAAGCCTACAGATGTTAAGTGAAATCCTTACCAATAAGACCACCTGGAGCAGCATACTGAAGATCATTGTGTTCCGCAAAAAGTGATACAATTTTGGAAAAGATTGGTTTACACATGAGTTTTCCTTCACTATCTTTGGAAACAATACCAGGTCTGACTTCTATTTCCTGGCTCACCTGAAACATTGAGTTACAAAAATATGTGGGACAAGATAATTACCTTTAAATGTTAAGAGTCCTAGCTAGTACATCTCTAAACACATCCACCATTCAGTTACTACCCAGCTTTACAACACATGCATGATTTAAAGACATATTAAAAATATTAAACAGTAAATAAAACAATGTGTTTTAAAGTTAATTTTGAAATTTTGTTTTTACCATCTTTAAAATTTGTTATAGTTAAGAAAAGTTCAAAATCAAGTTCACCTTTAACACTCCTTTTAAAATACTACCACCAGCCACACCACCTTTAAGATCATTAACTTCACAGCCAGGTTTGTTGACATCAAAGGACCTAATAACTGGGAAGAGGAAAAAGAAAAAAAGAAATAACCCATAAAGTTCATCCTGTTAGTTAAATCAGATGCTTATTCATGTTAACTTTGTTGAGTGTGTGTCTGTTCAGAAGTGCCTAAGATGTACACCTCAGAGTTGAGTTTGTGGGCAAATATCATTATTCCAAATTGTATCATGGTCTTAACTATTGGAAAAGTGAAAATAAGTCAATCAGTTAAGTGACATGTTGAAGCTCTATTTATACTATGGAATTAAACAACTATTACAAAAGGAAAGACAAATAAATACTTTACACAGATAAAATTAAGTGAAGGGTTGATTATTCTGGGGTAAATAAAGTGTGGCCTCCTTCCCTGCAATTCATGCTAAATCCCTAACCTTTCAACCCAGTACCTCAGAATCTGATTGTATTTGAAGACAAGGTCTTTAAAAGGGTAATTCAGGTAAAATTAGGTCACTGAGTGGGCTCTAACTCAGTCTGACTCATGTCCTTATAAAAACAGGGGATCTGGAAAAGAGGTAGCAAGGATGCACACATAGGAAAAATTGTGTGACAAAAGGCACCATCTGGTCATCTGCAAGTCAAAGAGGAGAGGCCTCTGTAGGAAGAAAATCTAGAAGGACCTTAATGTCACATTTCTGGCCCATGTATATGTGAGAAGTAAATTCATTTGTGATGTTTTATTATGGCAGCCCTACCAAACTATTACAGTGATCCTCACATACAATTTAAAAAAGAAGTAGCTATGAAATTCATTTCCAGAGTATAATCCTACAGTCATTAAACAACTATATATGCACCTAGGTTTATATAATGATGCAAAAAAAAAGACATTTGGAAATACACATGTTATCAGTGCTATGAGGCTGAATTCTTCTCTCATATACCTTTATATTAGAACTTATGTGACAAAAACCTATTTTTAAAACTACAAAATAATTCTAGGACTATATTAACTTACAAAAGTGGCACTTATCAAACAGCGTGCTTCATAATCACTCAAGAGAACACTCTCCATAAAACATACAGGATGCCCAGAGGAATGTACAGAAAGGTTCACGTTTTCTGAGAACTTGTTTACAAAAAACACAACCTTAATGTAATCATTAGTACTGGTACTATAAAATTAAGGCAAAAAGAACATGAAAATCTTCATTAACAGTATGCTAAAATAATTTGTACAGAGGTTCTATTTACCTGCTCCTGTTGTTTAAAACACTATCTCTATATAAAAGAACACTATCATTACTCTAACACTATATTATTCTAATCCAGATTACCAAAGAAAAATCAATGTTTCTATTTCATTCATGATTCTGTTCTTCAATCTAGCATTGCCAACACAATCTTAGAATCGATCTCTCTAATAGATAAAACTTTAAAATTCACCCCATTGACTTATGTGTATATATACAAATACATATATATGACATATTTATGTGTGTGTGTGTGTGTGTGTGTGTGTGTGTGTGTGTTGCCTGTGGTATACATAAACTCATTCCCTATGTTAAAATTCAAAAATGCACACAAACATTCTAATTTATCATTACCTCTGTGCCCTTAAAAGTAAATCAACAATACAGAAAAACTCAGTCAACAGTTAAAGGCTAACAGCTTAAGTCCTTACCAATAAGTCGGGGTTCTGAAGTAAAGTCTCTAAGAGGTACTGGAATTTTCTTAACAATATACTCACAAACAACTTCAATATTATATTTTAGTTGAGCAGAAATTGGAATAATAGGAGCTCCTTCTGCTACTGTACCTATATGACAAAATTCAGAAAGATCAAAATTCATCAGTTTTTCAAAATTTGCTCCACAAATTACTAAAGATAACTAAAAACAGATATCCAAGTAACATAAACAGATGTCAGCAAAATATGGAAAGCTACCATCCTGTTAGAAAAGCATAATATTTTGTTTTTCTAATTAAATGCCAAAGAAGAAGTCAACAGAATGGACCAAATACAGAATTTACAGGTGTAACTTTTATCACATAATCTGGCTAATAAAGATAGACCATCTAACAGGTAAAAGAGTCAAATGTAAAAAATAATATGCATTATGTCTTGTCCCAAATAGAAACAATATGTTTTAGAGAAAAGAACATTATAGATTAAAGAAATGATTTGTCACTTGCAGTACTACAAAGAGATTCTTAAAAAGAGAGTGTGAATAATCAGAAAACAGACTAACATATAAATATCATTTTACTATCACTGGGAAAGAATTTAAAAAACAATGCATTGGCCCTTACTCTGAAAACACATATACTAAGATTAGAATTATATAGACAATACTAGCATGATTTCAATATAAGGATGGCATACAAATATCAGCTCTTACATATTTTCACTACTATTTTGATGAAGCTGACCAACAGTCATTTTTAAATAAAATAAAAGTAATGTGCTGCCATTTGGAAGAAACCCAACTGGTAATATTCACAGACTATTACCCTTTTCCTATCTAACATGCAAGTCAAACTCTAACAACAAACTCAAATAAATTTCACTGCTTCTATTAACTGGCTAAAAGGCATTTAGTAGTATAGAGAAACAGGGATTAGAAACTATAGATTCATTTTTGATGATTAAATGTTTATCTTAAAACTTAATTCATACACTATTATTAAAAATTATTAAATATTACAGTGCCTTACCTTGTACAAATGCAAGGATCTGTTCATACTGTTCTTTAGCCTGACTTTCTTTTACCAAATCAATTTTATTTTGCAAAATCAAAATATGCTTCAGTTTCATAATTTCTATGGCAGCCAGGTGTTCAGAAGTCTGAGGCTGAGGACAGGATTCATTACCAGCTAAGGAGATAATGAAGAATTAAAACACAAAAAAGATGTGTGATCAGAGTTAACTCATCTTTTAACTCCTATTCCTGACCTTACACACAATACTTGAAATCAACTAATTTGATTTCTTTCATGCTATACTTAGGTATTACATATACCCTTCTAGTTCTATACAGTATGGAGCATACTCTCAGCTAGTGCAGCTCCGGAACAGTTAAAAGTAGCAAAGTTGCAAAATGCAGTCTATGAACTGTAATCAACCAACCATAAATGTAGACAACCACAAAGATGTTCAATGATGCCCATATCTGGCATTCACACCCTTGAGAAATCCTTCCCTTTAAATGTGGGACAGACCTAGAGAAGAGAATATGGCAAAAGGAATGGAACAATACTTCTCAGCTTACAAAGACAGTGATTTCCAACCTGGAGGCTGTTTGTTTCCTCTCAACACAATTATCCAGTCACAAGGACAGATGGGAAGGTTATGTTGGATCACATGAGGAGAAATGAAGGCCTGACAATATATTATTAAAAAGTATATTTTGTCTAATATCCTAATGATCATTTCCCTTTAATTGTGATATTTAGTTGCTTTGTCCCATACTTATTCTGCAGGCTTGTTGAAAAGCACAGTCTTACATAAATGGAGTTCTTATTTCCACAGTCTTCAACCATAAATCACATGTTTGCTCTTTTTGGCATGGCCACCCTATTTAAGGGTATCAGGTGTAGCAATCTTACTCTTAACATTAGGTGTAGTCAACTCCTGCCCTGAATAAGGACACTTCTGTCAGAAATGACACAGCTTATAGTCAAGAAGCCCAAATGCAAGGACTAAACCTTTTTTGGGTGGAAGCTAAATGTTTTTTATATAAGACTGTCTTCGCTGGCTTCTGCCCTTTGTACCCTTCCTCTCACTTAAATTAATTTTTCACCTTTCCCTATAAGAAACTGTAATTTTTTAATTAAAAAACTCACCTTTCACTGAGATTTTTTTAAACTCTAGTAAGTTACCAAACTTAAGGATGATTTAGAGAACTCCCTGAATTTGTACCCTGGGTATCAGAAACAAAAGTGATCTTCTGTGGAGATAATGCCCTTTAACTTTACATTTGACCCTTAAAATTCACCTTAAGAGCTCACAAAAGCAAGCATAACTCCACTTCTGAGAACATTCACATAGCGCTTGACTTCAGTATTTCACATGATTGTGCATGTTTAAAAAGTCCATTATGTCAATACTGCACGGAATAGCTCAGAGCCATTTATAAAATACCTTCTCCCTGCCCCCAACATACTATTATTTTTAAAATTCTAAAAAGACAGTAAGAATAATGCATTGTCTTAAAAAAAACTTTTCCCGACACTATTCTTAGAATTCTCACAAGGTAACAGCCCCAGTACAACTTGGCTTACTATTTATGATAGCTGGTAAGCACTCATCTATACTAATTTGGATAATCAACCTATTCTCAATTATGGCCATGAGAGACTCTACCTCCCCTTTACATATTCCTTGCTGAATGGATGCCACACTTATTTGTGAAACCAATTCTAATGTTACTTACCTATTAACAGAAGAGCTGCATCCATCACTGCTGCACCATTCAGCATAGTAGCCATCAAAATATCATGGCCAGGACAGTCAACAAAGGAAACATGTCTAATAATCAAGAATTAATAACCAGCTTTAATATCAACTTGTACTTAAACATCCATAGACTTCTAATAGCTAAATTATTTTGAAAGAAATTAATCCTGCTACAGAGTGGCTATATATCATGACGCTTCCAAAAAGTTTGAAATGACACTACTATCTTTGAAATTAAAATGACCGAAGACCTATTACAAAACAGATAAAATTAGCTATATGCAGATATAACTTAACCAAAGGTTAGGGTCCAATCAGCCTGAGCTATGTCCCAAGATGAAAAAGACACTGACATTACAAAATGCATAATAATGGGAATAATAAACTAACAACAATAATAAACTAGGAATATTCTGGATTTAAAATCAAACCATGAATTATAGGAAATGTGCTTATTTGCCTGCAAATATGATCTCCATACCTTTAGACTATTGTCTTCTGTAGCTCTAATGGTAAAGAATCTGCCTGCAATGTAGGAGACCTGGGTTTGATCCCTGGGTTGGGAAGATCCCCTGAAGAAGGGAATGACAACCCACGTCATCATCTTGCCTAGAGAATTCCATGAAAAGACAATGGGGTCACAGAGTTGGACATGACTGAGCAATTAACACATTCTACTTTGATCAAGTGTTTTCAACTGTTGAGTTGAGATTATTTGTTCTAGTCCCTTCTGGACATGTTGTCTGCAAACATTATCTCTGGGTTAGTAAAAGCCTTCTGACTCTCGCAACAGGTCTTTTACAGAGCAACTACTTTTAATTCTAATGCACTGCAACTTACCAATTTTTTTCCCCATGGAATGCAACATGCCATATCTTAAAAGATCAGAGTAAATCCCAAGTTCTAAACATTTTTTGCCTACATTTTCTCTTAACAGTTTCTTATAGTTTTATCCTATCCATTTAGTACTCAAATGTGGCTGTATTTCAGGTATGTACTCAAAATAGATGAGCTCACACTAATGTTCAAAGACAATATACATTTTGAATGCAAGGTATTACATTTAAAACTAGCGCCTGAAAAGTGATTGCATTCAAGGTCATCCATGTATTCTCCAGTGTTTTCTTGTAGGAGTTTTACAGTTTTATGATCGTTTTTTGAGCTAATTTTTGTACCAAGTACAAGATCTCTGCCTGGATGTATTACTTTTGTAACATGTGGATGTCAGTTCTTAAAGCACTGTTTGTTAAAAAGACTGTCTTTGCCCTTACATCTCTTTGAGAGATCAATTAACTCAGTACAAGTTTACTTCTTGGGTTTTAGTTCTGTTCTGTTAACATTTGTCTTTTTTTCAAATACTACAATGTCTTGATTACTATATCTTTATACTAAGTCTTGAAGTGGGCTTATGTCCTCTGATGTTGTTACTGTCATTGAGTACTGTTGGCTTTTCTAAGACTCACCTCTGCATATAAACTTTTATTTTCTAAATTTTTGTTTGTGTTGGGTCTTTGTTGTAGCATGGGCTTTTCTCTTCTTGGGGTGAGCAGGGGCTGCTGTTTGTTTTAGTGCTTAGGCTTCTTATTGCGGTGACTTTTGTGGAGCACAGACTTCAGTTGTTGTGGTTTGTGTAGTTGTGGTTCCCAGACTCTGGAGCATAGTCTTAGTAGTTGTGGTGCCCAGGCTTAGCTGCTCCGTGGCATGTACTATCTTTCTGGGCCAGAGATCAAGCCCACGTCTCCTGAATTTGCAGGATAATTCTTTACTACTGTTTGTTGAATACCCTATTTTGTTCTGCACAAGTCCTTCCACACGTTTGCCAAAACTCAGCTGGGAAATATTGGAGGGAGTCTAATTCTCCGTTTCCTGACTTTGCTGGGATTTTGATAAAAGCTGCATTAAACCTGTGTATTGGTTGAGCTTTCAATCCATGCACAGATTATATTTAGGTTTTCCTCAACTTCTTTCAAAGCTGTGTAATTTTCACAGATTTTAGCTTATATGCTCGTAAAAGGTATTTCCCCTTACTTTTCCTTTTGTGTAATGTCTTTCTAGTTCTGATAAATGGTAAAGTTTTCCTCATAGAATGATGAAGTATTTCTTCTAAAGCAATGGTGTTTTATATCTAAAGTATTTCATCTTTTGGAGACTTTAGTAGTTTAAATTTGGGTGGGTAAAGTGTTCATTGCTAGTACACTGAATATACAGTGAGCTACTGTGTCATGACCTTGTATCCTTAAACCCCACTTATGAAGCAACACTTCTTTCTGATCTGTATGCCTGATATTATCTTTTCTTAAAATAGTATATATACAAACAAAAAAACTTTTCTGGTATTTTGATAGCGTGAGCATAAGCCCATACAGCAATTTGAGCAATTTGATTAGGTTTATATTAATTACAGAAATTCAATCAACAAATAGCCTCTGCCAGCAGAAAGCACCAGAACTAAATGGGTTCACTGGGTATATTCTACCAAACATTTAAGAACGATATTATACTGATTCCCTGCTGGATCTTTAAGGAGATGGCAGCAAATGAAATACTTCCTCATATTATGAGGCACACATGACTCTATACTTAAACCAAACAAAGGCACTGCAAGGAAGGAAAACTACAAGAAAATTTCTCATCAACATACATACAAAAATCTTCCAACACAATATTAGCAAATCTAATCCAACAATATCCCCATGTGGGATTTAACTAAGGTATACAAGGCTGATTCAATACCTGACAAACCATTAATGGCTTCCATCACATTAGGTTAAAGGAAAATCACGTAATTGTATCAAGAAATGCATAAAAAGCATAAATCCATTTGAAAACCCTTACCAAACTAGGAACAGATGGTAATCTCAAAGTGATAAAAAGTATCTACAAAAACCCTACAACTAAAGTCATAATTGATAGTTAAGAAATTCAATGCTCTTTACTAAGAAAAGGATAAAGCAAAAATGTCCCTTTTTCTCCATGCTTTTGAACACAATAACGGAGTCACAGCTTATATAACAAAAATATGAAAATGAAATAAAGGATATACAGATTAGAAATGCAGATATAAAATTGTCTTTGTAGATAACACGACTGCCTATGCAGAACTGCTAAAGGCAACAAAAAAACTCCCAAAACTAATGAGTGATAAGTCTGCAGATTCACAGTTAACTTAAACAAGTCAATCACTTTCCTAAATGGCTGCAATGAACAAGAGGAATGTGAAATTAAAAACACAAACCATTTATATTTTCACCCCTAAAAAGACAAATGCTTAGGTATAGATCTAAGAAATATGTGTAAGATCTGTATGAGAAAGACTAAAAAATTCTGATGAATGAAGCCAAAAAATTAAACAGAGATCCCATGCAATGAATAGGAAAATTCAATACCATCACGATAGTAGTTCTTCTCAGACTAATCTAAAGATATAACGCAATCTGAATGAAAGTCGCAGCAAGTCATTTGTTGAATATCAACAAACTGATTCTAAAGCTTATATGCAATGCTTCCTGATGACTCAGTAGTAAAGAATTATCCTGCAAATTCAGGAGACGTGGGCTTGATCTCTGGCCCAGAAAGATAGTACATGCCACGGAGCAGCTAAGCCTGGGCACCACAACTACTAAGACTATGCTCCAGAGTCTGGGAACCACAACTACACAAACCACAACAACTGAAGTCTGTGCTCCACAAAAGTCACCGCAATAAGAAGCCTAAGCACTAAAACAAACAGCAGCCCCTGCTCACCCCAAGAAGAGAAAAGCCCATGCTACAACAAAGACCCAACACAAACAAAAATTTAGAAAATAAAAGTTTATATGCAGAGGTGAGTCTTAGAAAAGCCAACAGTACTCAATGACAGTAACAACATCAGAGGACATAAGCCCACTTCAAGACTTAGTATAAAGATATAGTAATCAAGACATTGTAGTATTTGAAAAAAAGACAAATGTTAACAGAACAGAACTAAAACCCAAGAAGTAAACTTGTACTGAGTTAATTGATCTCTCAAAGAGATGTAAGGGCAAAGACAGTCTTTTTAACAAACAGTGCTTTAAGAACTGACATCCACATGTTACAAAAGTAATACATCCAGGCAGAGATCTTGTACTTGGTACAAAAATTAGCTCAAAAAACGATCATAAAACTGTAAAACTCCTACAAGAAAACACTGGAGAATACATGGATGACCTTGAATGCAATCACTTTTCAGGCACAATACCAAAACCACAGAAGAAAAGCACTGATACATTGGTCTTCCTCAAAATTAGAAATTTCTGAGAATTTGAGGGTAGTCCAATGATCAGCAGGACTCAGCAGACTACACAGGTTCAATCCTTGATTGGGGAACTAAAATCCTACAAGGTGTAAGGCAAGGACCGCTCCCCACCCCCCCATCAAAAAAGAAGAGACAAAAAAAAAATTTTTAATTACAAATTTTTGCTCTGTAAAGATATTATCAAGACAATAAAAAAAGACAAGCCAAGTAGCAGAAGATATTTTCAAAAGACGTATCTGAAAATGAACTACCACCTAAAGTGTACAGATAACTCTTAAAAATCAAAATATTGAACTTGGTTAAAGAAAACATGTTCAAGACACCCCACAAAGATTTACTGATGGAAAATAATCACAATTATTTGATCCCACATCACATAACAGGAAAATGCTAACTTAAGCAAAAAAAACTTTAATAGAATGGCTAAAATTCTAAACACCGACATCAGCAAATACTACAAGGATATGGAAAAATATGAACTCTCATTCATTACTAGTGGGAATGCAAAATGGTAGAGCCATGTTTAAAAAGCTTGGTGTTTTCTCATAAAAGCAAACATCCTTTTGCCATTTGGTCCAGCAAATACACTTATTTATTTACTCAAATCAATTGAAAATTTATTTATGTCTATATACACAAAAAAACTTGTATATTTATAACAGCCTTCTTTATAACCACCAAAACTTAAAAGCATTCAATATATCCTATCCTAAGGAAATATATACATATGCTGAGATACACCCAGAAAACAAATTATTCAATGGCATTAAGCAAGTTACCAATTACAAAGTGATACAAAACATTAAATGCATATCATTAAGTAAAAGAGGTCAACAGAAAAAGGGTAAAATATCAACTATTTACTATACTAGAAAAGGCAAAACTAGATAAAGATATCTGGAGAAGGGAAAGGCTACCCACTCCAGTCTTCTGGCCTGGAAAATTCCACAGACTGTATTGTCCATGGTGTCATGAAGAGTCAGACAGGACTGAGCAACTTTCACATCACAGAGAAACCAATTCAGTAGTTGCCAGGGGTTACCGAGGAGGGAAACATGAACATGTAGGATACAGAGGATTTTACGACAACAAAACCACTCTGTAGCACAGTATAAGGACGAACACAGAGTAAAAGGACAAACACGTCATTAAAAATTTCTGCAAATTGGTAAAACATAAAAGAAGAGTGAACACTAATGTAAATCATGGATCTTGGATAAAGCTGGGTCAAAACACATTCATCAACTTTTAAAAATATAATACCACTCTTGCAGGGAATGCTGAAAATGAGGGGGGCTATGCTTCCAGGCTGAGGGTATAAGAGAAATCTGTACCTTCTACTCAGTACTCATTTGAAGCTTTAGATATAAAGCTTCTCTAAAAAAATTAAGTCCACCAAGAAAAAAAAAACTGAAACAATGAATTACTAGTAAGCTCTAAAGCCTTGACAGATCTCAGAAACACTGTAATGAGTGAAGAAGTCTATTTCAAAGGCAATATCCTGTTCTGGTGGGCTGCTGTCCATAAAGTCGCACAGCGTTGAACACGACTCAAGAGACTTAGCATGCGTGCATGCATTGGAGAAGGAAATGGCAACCCATTCCAGTGTTCTTGCCTGAAGAATCCCAGGGACAGATGAGCCTGGTGGGCTGCCGTCTATGGGGTCGCACAGAGTCGGACACGACTGAAGCGACTTAGCAGCATCAGGCACAGCAGATACTATGTTCAACATACACAATGTTTCTGAAATTTAAAAAGTCAGCTAAATAATAGACTAGTATTTGCCAGGGATTAAAAACAGTGGGGGATCATGGACTAATATTTGTGGTGAAATAATGTTTCTGTTATCCAGAAAGTAGTGACATTACAGGAACAGACATATCATAAAATACAGTACATGTGTATCCGTACACCAACAGAGTGCTTTGTTTTGGTATTACACTGAAGTTTGAAGTAGTACTATGCTTACTGGAGAAGGAAATGGCGACCCACTCCAGTATTCTTGCCTGGAGAATCCCTCGGACAGAGGGACCTGGCCCGCTAGAGTCCCTGGGGTTGCAAAGAGTTGGACATGACTGAGTGACTAATGCTTTAAGACTACTGGGGCAAAATCAATTAAGGCTGTACGGGTCTTCTATGTTATCTTGCCAACTTTCGCTTACTCCGCAATTATTTCAAAGTTAAAAATGAAAAATATGGAGCAGAGTGGCTGGAAAATCAAATATTACATTTGCAATTGTTAATAATTTTAGGTATAAAATGCTTACAATAAAAAATTTTAAACCATGTATTTAGAACGTAGGTTTTAAAAATAAGTTTAGCTTCTAAAACGTTTTTATTATAGAAGCTTAAGAGACTTCTGATGTTTTCAGAGTGTAACTATAACCATATAATGTGAAATAAACTACTGAAACAAGCAATAATATACATTAAACAAACCACAACTGCATTATCAAAATGGAAATTTTCACTCAAAAAAGAAATTTACTGAAGGATCTCCACTGTCTTGGAAGATCGAGTGAGCCTGCCAGCCTAATGCAAAGAACTCCGCGCTTAAGAACAAAAATTACTATACTTTTAGAACTATTACCATTCTCAAAAATTGAATATTAATATCCTTATGATATAAAATTTCTTTGGGTACTCCTAATACCTACATATGTTAGATGACATGTCAGTGTCCTGAGGAATCAAGATACGCAACATTCCAAATATGGATACAGACAGGCAAAATTAAGACAAAGACATAATACTGGAAGACTGGACAGAAGGACCCCACTGAATATAATGATTCCATGCTTGTATTCCTTTAGAGAACACAAAAAAATACATTTTAGCTTATATTTAAACAGAATCCTTAAAAACGTTATCAGCAAGTGTAAGCTCTAAAGTTTATTATAAAATGTTTTGGCAAAAATGCATCTGCATCAAGCTTAGATCTGAATCATTAACTTCTCAATTAAATAGTTCAATGAGCACAAAGGAAAAAATATGCTTTTAACATAAAAATGATCACCTGACTAGTCTGAAGTTCCCTTTGGTCCCTGGAATGTCTGTAGGAAACTCATCAGGTGTACTACTCCCACAAGATCTGTAACATTCTGGCCGAGGACAACTTGCATCATCAAGTTTGTAAATCTAAAAATTTCAATGAAAATAAATTTAAATTCTCATTTGCATATTTGAAACCCAAGTAAAATCATTCCTCCTTCCACAACATACTATGTACCTTGGCATTAGCATACCCAAGCTTGATTGTAATATTTCTTTCTAGCTCATTTTTGAATCTGACAGTGTGAACTCCAGAAATAGCTTTTACCACGGTAGATTTTCCATGAGCAACGTGACCAATCGTACCTACAAAGGCAAAAAAAACACTTGATTTATATACATACCATTTTACCAAGTAGTAAAGTCAGAAAAACAAAAGGCATAATTCACTATAAATATTTCAAACTATAACCAAGAGATTTCATTTACACCCTCCATATACTCTTTTCAACACAAATTTTTTTCTGAAACATTACCAAATGTAACTCTCCATGTACTTGAAAATTTTATTTAAAAATCATACTTAAGTGATTATTCAACTTGTTATCAATCTAAAAAAGGAGTTCACTTGAAATAAACATTCATCTAAAAACACAAAATTTTGAATATTAATAAAGTTTCCAGTATTTTGACTGAGTTAAGCATAAAGAAAGTGAAGCGAAAGTTGCTCAGTGGCATCCAACTCTTTTCAACCCCACAGGCTATATAGTCTGTGGAATTCTCCAGGCCAGAACACTGGAGTTGGCAGCCTTTCCCTTCTCCTGGGGATCTTCCCAACACAGAGAAAAAACCCAGGTCTTATGCATTGCAGGTGGATTCTTTACCACTTGAGCCACAGGGAAGCCTAAACATGCATGAATCCATGCAAACTAGGAAAAAAACTCCGATTACAGTAAACAAGTACATGTTAAGAGTGAGCATCCTAAGTGGCTCAGCAATAAAGAATCTGCCCGAAATCCAAGAGATGGGGGTCCAATCCCTGGTGTAGGAAGATTCCCTGGAGAAGGGAATGGCAACCCCCTGCAGCATTCTTGCCCACAGAATCCCAAGACAGAGGAGCTTGGCAAGCAACAAGTCCATGGAGTCACAAGAGTCCACACAACTTAGCAACTAAAACAGCAGCAGCAAGAGCAGTATAATGTCTTACGATTTTTCATCACTCTAAGGTATAAGTGTTATTAGGTTTTATTGCTAATATAATAGACGCTAAAACATGTACATTCAATCAACTTCTCCCAAAATATGTGTCAATTAAGAAAAGAAGTAAAACACTATTCTGAAACATTATACACTAAATAAGACTTCTCAATTCCTGTTAAGAAATCTGTTCTTAAAATTTTCTCTACAAAAGGAATTTTCGTCTCTTCTTTAGCATTCTGCTGCTATACACGCATACACCATACTGTCTCTTCATACACCTATGTCTTTCCCTGGATGCACATGAAAAGTACTGTTTCCCAAGGAATCGAGTAGGTACTTTGCTCATAATGGCTAAAATGTACCCATTATATATCTGAGTCTTCCTACACTTTAGATAATCAAACAAGAGTTTAAATGCCATCGGAGAGCAATCAACCCTCAAGAAGGACAGCACTGTACACAACAAAGCATTCTTACCTATATTAATGGTGGCTTGTCTGCTGATAACTTCATGTGAGAGTGGTGTCAACCTGGTAACATCCTGCAATTAAACATTTTAGCTTAAACTACCTCACGAAAGACAAACCATAATTTATATCTCGTTTTGTATCTACAGTTTGCCATTATCTATTCAGCGCTCGACTGTTTACCAAATGTACTTTTCTTGCAAAGGCAGTCTTGATTCCCAGTCAGAAGAGGGATGCCTGGTGTGCTGCAGTCCATGGGATCGCACAAAGTCAGACACGACTAAGAGACTCAACAACAAAAGCAAGTGCTAAAGCCCTTTACATTTACAAAAGAGACTATATTTCCACTAACTCTAGAATATTTGGAAAACCAGGGCCTCAAATTTCAAGAGATTAACACTAACGACAGTGTAAAAACTCCTTCCAGAATTAAAGGTATTAATCTTTTCCCGGATCTTCAGAGAAGACCTTAATGGCACTTAACATCTTGACTTTCCTGTCCAAATCTTCGCGTTTCGAAGTCCATGAACTCACACCGCAAGGCTCAACTCGCAAACCTGGATGAACGCGGCAAAGAACGCCTGGGTCCAGGCTTCTGGCGTAACTCAAGCTGTCAGCAGCCCGGTACTGCCGTGATTCAACGCTTCCCAAAGTTCAGGTCACACCCACTCCTGAGCTCATTCCAATCCGTCTAGAAGAAAACCTTACCAATGTGGAAAGATCCTGGCGAGAAAGATGTGGCTGACCCAGGGTCACACCCGACTCCTCTCGCCCAGCCATCTTGCCGACAGAGCAACGAAACCGTCCGCGTAGCTTTCAGTCCGTTCGCAGGCCCCCTTGTGCCGGGCGGGGCTGCGGAGGGAGAGCGACTATGTCTCGAGCCAGGGAGATGAGAACGGTTGGTGTACCAGAGAGGTCACCCTGTGGCCTTATTTCACCTGGCTTTACATATTAGCTACATAAAGACTGACGATAAAAAGCGAGGCAAAGTTTTAGGGACCTATTCATTGGCGACCTAATGGACATTTGTGCAGGCAATGCTAAGGGCAGCCCCATAGAAGGACGCTTGCTAAAAGAATGACAACCCAACCCCACCCCCCGGGATGGGTAAACAGTCGCTGTTTCCGTTTTCCTAGCTGATGGTTTGGAAGGGTTTCCAGGGACCTACTACCCGTATTTTTGGTTCCAGTTTCCACAGTTTATTATGGTGAGGTCGCCTGTGGTCTGGGCCTGTCTTCAGTGAAAGGAAGGCTTGTAGTAAGCCACACTTAGGCTCAGCAAGTTCCTTTTTGCGGATTGCGGGGTGGGATAGTGAAGGCTTCCTTGATAGCTTGTTAAAGAATTCGCCTGCAATGCAGAAGACCCCGGTTCGATTCCTGGGTCGCGAAGATCCGCTGGAGAAGGGATAGGCTACCCACTGCAGCCTTCTTGGGCTTCTCTTGTGGCTCAGCTGGTTAAGGAATCCGCCGGCAATGAGGGAGACCTGGGTTTGAGCCCTGAGTTGGGAAGATCTGGAAAAGTTAAAGGCTACCCACTCCAGTATTCTGGCCTAGAGAAGTCCATAGACTGATACTCCGAAGGGTTGCGAAGAATCTGACGGGACTGAGCGACTTTTAACTTTTAGGGAAGAGGGGAAAAGCGCCTTCTGGGAAAAGTTCGATGGAGGGCTCAGTTGTCCGTATGTGGCAATAGCAACTGCATAGGAGGGGACGTTTTTGCAATAGCTTTAGGGTTCTCAAAAGTTTTTAGGAAACAGATACAGGGAAACATACTTGTTTGGAGAAAGTCTGGACAAATGATTTTACCAGATATTTCAATAAACAAAGACTGGTAAGGGAATCAAGTCATCAGCATCTGCAGTCACCTGCAAACATGGGCCCTGTTGGAGTTTGGGATGGAGAGAAATAGGATGTTGCCCCAAAATGGTTAAGATGCACAATCTGGAAATGATTTTAATGAGCCCAAATTTCATTTTCCCATTCAAAGAAAAACCCTGTATTCCTTAATTCACAAGGGTGTATTTCTTTAGTTAGAAATAGATTTTGTGACTATCTGTTTTGTTTGGTTGGTTTTGTTTTTTTGTTTGTGTGTTTTTTTAAAACGCTCTGTATACCTTGCTCTTCCTTCCCCTATCTGGAACAATTTCTCAGAGCTAATAATTCCTCCTGGGTTGTAATCCTCAGTGCTGCTGTGTTTAGTTGCTTAGTCATGTCTGATTGACTGTGACCTCTTGGCCTGTACCTCACCAGGCTCCTCTGTCCACAGGGAGGCTCCAGGCAAAAATACTGGAGTGGGTTACCATGCCCTCCTCATAGTCCTCAGTTAGTTAGCCAGATAAAACTTTCTCAACTTTTAGGTTGTGCTTTTTTTTTTTTCCTTTTTGTTCAGTGTGACAGTACTAGCCATCAACAAAGGCACACAGAGCAGACTATTTCCCTTCACTGAACTCTGAGGATCTGCATCCTTAGTACCAGCAAAGGCCACTTGTGCCTGTCCTCCCCCTTGGAGAGTCCAAATGAATTAGGGTCCTTCTCTTCTGGTACTCAGATAGGTCATTTTTGGAAAATCCAGTGATATAGAACTCCTGGAATACGTTGGTTCCCCTTGGAACTTTTTTAAACTTGGTACCTTAATTAGTTCATTTGAAAGACACTGGGAAGATTTTTCCTCAGTTTCAGTTCAGTTCAGTCGCTCAGTCATGTCTGGCTCTTTGTGACCCTGTGAATCACAGCCCACCAGGCCTCCCTGTCCATCACCAACTCCCAGAGTTTACTGAAACCCATGTCCGTCGAGTTGGTGATGCCATCCAGCCATCTAATCCTCTGTCGTCCCCTTCTCCTCCTCCCCCCAAGTCCTCTTAGCATCAGGGGCTTTTCCAATGAGTCATCTCTTCAATATGGGTAATTTCACCCAGTTAAAAGACTCAGAAGACTTGACTCAGCTGACTGATTAGGGGTTGGAGTGGGTATTTGGAGGGAAAAATAGCCTGTGATTTTTCCCTTGAATTGTCTACTTTAAAACAATTTATTGAAAAAGTGACGGTATCTCAGAGTTTCCACCTCTAAAGAAGGGATACTCCTGGTTTTCTCAGATTCAGGAATGGTGGATACAAGTACTATTAATTAGCTACTATACCTAAAAGGAAAGTTACTTGTTTTAATTAAAAAGTTGCTCTGCTAGGGACACATAAAAGATCTGTCCTCTCTGTGATCTGAGCACTCATGGTGGTTTTATGTTACCTGAGTGAAAAACTCAGACAAGTAACAGAGTTGAGGGACTCTGTGGTAAAAACCAAAGTTTAAGAGTTAATGTCCCAAATCATGTTGTAACCCACTGCATGATTGCTGTTAGTATGTTTTTATCTTGATAAATCTATTGGGGAACTAACCTTTCAAATGAAAGAAAAGCAATGACAAATTGCCATCCTCAAACTAAGACACCCAACTAGTTTTTGGTAAGCCATTGGCACTTTCTGTCTACCTGTATAAGGATTAAATCAGATGTTGCTGCAGCTGCTGACCTCAACACCCCACTGAAAGTAGTTCCAGTTGGGGGCACAAATGAGGTATCTGTGCTCTAGCAAAAGTTGGCAAGACAGGACTTTGCATAGATACTTGTAGGAACCAATCTTAGGAGTGCAGTTTTGTATGTCCTCAAATCTAGAAAACCACAAATCCTCCATGGGTATGACTGTTCTTTGTAACTAGTAGAAACTTCTTTCAAAAAATATGTGCTTGATTGCCTGAACTCCCCTTTCAGCAAAATCATATATATAAGGACCTTCCCCCATCTATCATGGAGCAGTTTCTCAGAGCTGTCTGCAGTTTTGATCAGGGGCTGTAGTCCTCATTTTGCCCCAAATAAAATGTGACTTGGAATTCTCAGTGTGCTTTTTTTTTTTTTTAAGTTGACAACTTTATGGCAACCACAAAGGTACACAGAGTAGTCTTCTCTCTTTCACCTGAACTCTACAAGTACCGGAGACTTGGCAGAGGCCAAGTCACCAGCAGCCCTTTGTGCCCATCTCCCTCCTTAAGAGTCCAGATGAATTGGTAAAGTCTCAGATCTCTTGTATCTGTGGATGATCTTAAGTTTTACTGGTAGTTGAGCAGGTACTTGTGCCCTCCCAAACCCTGAAGTTACTAGAGTTCGGGGGGGCGGGCAGTGCCCAGGTGAGAGATACTGAGGCAAACTCAACCAGTGGAAAGGTAGGGAGGGGAGCTCAGTTGAAAGACACCAAGGAATGCCTGGGGCTCTGTTGAAAGATTTCATGCTTTTCCTCAATTCAGCCACCCTAATAGAAATTTGTTGTAAAAGTGAAGATACCACATGAGAGCTTTGCTTAGAAGAAAAGGGACAAGACACATCAAGTTACTGAGAAATTTATAGGAGTGGTGGCGGCCAAGTACTCGTACTGTCTGGTAGTCCCATAGGAAAATCCACTCATTAATTAAAACGCTTGTCAAGGGGTCACGAAAGAATTGGCCATTCAGGCTGCTATCAAAAAGTCTACAAACGATAAATGCTGGAGAGGGTGCAGAGAAAAGGGAACCCTCTTACACTGTTGGTGGGAATGCAAACTAGTACAGCCACTATGGAGAACAATGTGGCGATTCCTTAAAAAAGTGGAAATAGTACTGCCATATGAGCCAGCAATCCCCCTGCTGGGCATACATACCGAGGAAACCATAATTGAAAGAGACACATGTACCCCAGTGTTCATCGCAGCACTGTTTACAATAGCTAGGACATGGAAGCAACCTAGATGTCCATCAGTAGATGAATGGCTAAGAAAGCTGCGGTACATATACACAATGGAATATTGCTCAGTCGTTAAAAAGAATACATTTGAATCAGTTCTAATGTGGTGGATAAGACTGAAGCCTATTAGAGTGAAGTAAGTTAGAAAAACATTGATACAGTATATTAACACATCTATATGGAATTTAGAAAGATGGTAATGATGGCCATATATGCAAGACAGCAAAAGAAACACATGTAAAGAACTGACTTTTGGACTCTGTGGAAGAAGGCAAGAGTGGGACGATTTGAGAGAATAATATTGAAACATGGAATCGCCAGTTCACATTTGATGCATGAAACAGGGTGCTCAGGGCTGGTGCTCTGGGATAACCCTGAGGGATAGGATGGGGAGGGAGGTGGGAGGGGGGTTCAGGATGGGAGACACATGTACACTTATGGCTGACTCATGTGAATGTGTGGCAAAAACCAGTACAATATTGTAAAATAATTAGCCTCCAATTACAAGAAAGAAAAAAAAAAAGAATTGGCCATTCAACAATCCAAGCACTCACAGTGGTCTTACACTGCTGGAAGTAGAAACTGACACATGTGATAAAGCTAAAACTTTTCTTGAGTTTTAACTCCTCCAGGGGTTAAAACTCAAAAGCAGCACACTGGCCCACCACACAATTTCACTACTGAGTTTTATCCATGACAAATTCAATTTAAAATGGAAAACAGAGACTCTCAAACACGGAACATGAAGCATCAGAAAGCCAGCCTCTAACAACACCCCAGCAAGATATATGTAAATAGAAAATACATATTTAATGATTGGGAAAAGTACACTGAGATCTCAACCTAAAATGTCTAAATTGGGGTTATTTGGATATCCAAAGTTGATATTTTTGGGTCCGCTAATGGAAAAAGCCATTGTAAGATCAGCAAACTTAATGAAATGCTTACTTTGATTATCTAGAAACTATATCAGAACAGCAACAACAAGCCTGCTAACAGTCTCTCTTTCCCTCTACGTATCCTCTTCAATCTGAATTACTTGGCAAGATGCTGTC